GGAATCTGCTGCAGCCACAAAAATCGAGGCTTGCGGCTACCTCCCAGAAGGCTTTTTCAGTTGTCGCTCCCAAACTCTGGAACGGCCTGCCGGACGAGATCCGTCAGTTAACATCGTTAGACAGCTTCAAAAAGGCTGTCAAGATGGATCTCTTCTGACAGGCCTTCCCAGATTAATCATCCCGGCCTAGGATATTATGACCCGCAACTGTTCCTCACGTGGCCCCATCTTTAGATGGAACAGGAACACTGTTAGAGGCTAAAATCGGGTGTTGTATTGTGTTTTTATTGTTTATATTGTGGTTTTAATTATTGTGGGATTTAATACTGTTTTAAGGGGGGGGGAGGATTGCTTTTTTTGATATTCGTGATTTTAATTCTGTAAACCGCCTTGATTGGATCCCCAAATAGGCGGGGTATAAATAAATTTTATTATTATTATTATTATTATTATTATTATTATTATTATTAGATGAAAGCAAGGAGGATGTGATGGAGGAAAGACTCTCCATTTTGTGTATGCACACCGATGCTCACAAACACCCTCCTTGTGAGAGATGAAGACAAGTGAGCATAGAAATGTTTCTTTGGGAGATTACAGCCCCCCGAATCCTGGGTCCTTATGAGATGTAGTCAAAAATAGTAACTTCTCCAACCTCTAGTCTGAACTTGGAATCCAAACAGGTCTTCTAGCACCTGGCTCACTTAATACTTTCAGCTTAAAAGTATTGATTAAATTGAAGAAAAACCCAGCTGGAGTCAGCAGCTGCTTTTCTCCACAAGGGAGCCAAGAAAACCCAGTATCTATTAAGCCTGTCAGCAAAAACACAGGCTTGGGATTTATTACCTCAAAATACTTGAACAGGACCTTTGTGAGGGTCTCTCTGAAATGGGAAGGGCACAGAACAGACTCCACAATCACAACACGACGGTCTCGAGGGTTTACCAGTAAGTGTCTGAAAAGGTAATGCAAAAACCAGAAAGATGAATCACAGCTGGCTGGCTGTGTGCACAGATTAGTTTCTTACCTAGAGATTCCAGCAGACACAACACTCAGCAGTTTCCAAACTTAAAAATTGAATTGCATGGACAATAAAAGGGGAATAAATCCCTCTGACAGCAGTGGGACTTACATTTTTGAACTATTTACCATAGTTTCCTCCTTATCCTTCGTATAAAATCCATCCAACCTAAAGGTGAGCACAAATGATCCCTCCTCCCTCTCCCAAATTTTTATGTATAAAATTTACACATGCATTGAGTTAAATATTGAATTCATTTACATAAAACTATTATAATTTAAATGATGTTATTTCCTTATATGAGTGCGTGAATGAAAATATGCACACCAAATAAACAAAAATATTTTATCATGCACTACAAGTATGTGCGTGCGTGCGTTCATGTGTCTGTGTGGGAACGTCTGCATGTAGATGTAAAGAGGAGTCCCAAAGGTAAGAAGTTCAAGTACCACTGCTCTATAGTCTAAATGGAACTGGAAATTTTAGAATATGTAACAAAAACATTGTGTTTTTTAAATAAACATCCTATCTCTAGTTCATTTCCTTATTATTTAATTTATAACCCATCTCCTCCTCCCAAAATGTGTGTATGTGTGTGTGTGGTGGGAGGGGCTCAAGCCTTACCAGAGGCAAATGAATTGCTCCTTCATTTCCTACCTGAAATAAAGCATATGGATGAACTCCTTCAGGTAGGAATACAACTCTTCTGTGTTAATGTTGCACTGAACAACTTTGATAGGCTGTGAAGGAAAGAAAGACCATCTGAAGCTATTTTAAAAATACCCTCTCATACATATGTTGTATCAGCTACTTAAAGAGCAGATTAGAATATAATGTTGTAGTTTATGAATTTTTCTCCTTGCAAACCTTGCATATTAACAGTGCAATGCCATGGTGCACCATGAATGCTGCACCTCAAGTACCTGTTAATTGATATCTCCTAATAGTACACCACTGCTTTCCAACAGGCTCTTTATCCAAGATTTCTTGCATAGCTTCAAAATGATTTAACAGTTCCCTCAAATTCTTGTAACTTAGCCAAAGCACATGTAACTGAAATTACTGCCTATGTCATTTGAAAGTGTTCCTAGATTCTTCACTGACAATAGACTCCCAAGTGACCTCCATGGCAGTGAGTTCTTCTATCAGCTTTGCCTGGTACACTATTTGCAGCTATTCCTAAACAGAGACAGCCTAGTATGCACTGATAACCTTAAACAGTTAACAGTTTCATCTTCCAGAATTCTGTAGTTGGCAATGCTGTCATATTTTATATAGTTGTTATAATGTTATGTCAACTGCTTCAGAGGTAGGAATGTTAAATAAAACACAATGATGGGCTCCTGTATCTTTAATAGTTGTACAGAATACAGAATTGCAGCAGGCACTGCTTGTCATGTAAGCAACACTTGCTTAATTAAATTCCCTCTTGTACAAGCCACTAAATATACAGGAACCTTGCCCTGTCTTTACCAAGCAACTCTATCCAAGGTGAAACAGACTTCAGTTCTTCAAATTGACATTTAATATATATTAAAATGGTAGCAACATGCTTTTTAAAAAAAGAATTCCTACCTTTGAAACACCAGGTTTCTTTATTTCACTAGGAATAATACATCTTGGTCCTGTTTCTCCAGCAAAGCCACATCTAGAAAAATTAAGATAGTATATTAACAGACATTTAGTATTTCAGTAAGCCAAATAAAATGGACTGATTTCACTTTTACGTGTAAGTTCCAGCTATCATCAAAATGAGTCTTCGATCCCATTGAGGTTACCATTAGATGCCAAGTTAAGTCAGGAACAGCTTGAATCAGATATTTAAACAAGATCAAAAATTTCTCCTTTCTCAGCAACTTTATGTCTAGTTCAATAATTAATATAACACCTTTCACTTTGTTCCCTTTTGTTGTTGTGTGCCTTCAAGTTGTTTGTGACTTGTGCTAACCCTAGAATGGGTTTTCTTGGCAAGATTTGTTCTTCCCCTGAGGCTGAGAATATGTGATCTGCCCAGGGTCACCCAGCGGGTTTCATGTACAAGCTGAGAATCGAACCTTGGTCTCCAGAGTCCCTTATTTTACTACAAATTCTTGGGTGTCCTAACTTATTCAGTGGTACATACTTCCCGATACGTTTGATGAAGTACTTCAGAAGACTGTCTATGGTCTTAAAATGCTCCTAGACACCAACTTTTGTTTATGTGATTTATGGCTAGATACAATGCAAACAAGTTTTAAGAAATTCTGTTTTATAAGTAATGTATGAATGCTTATACAGCATTTTAAACCAAAAGGAAAGCAGCAAGGAAGATTAAACTCATGTGCAAACCTCATCAATCAATTTGCAAATTCAATCAACTAAGAATTATTTATTTCCGTTTTTTTAGCGCCTTTCCTTACAGCATTTTGGCACATTTCCCATCTCTCTTCATTATGCCATGGGAAATATGCACTGATTGTGAAACAGCAAAATTCTTACCAGTACATTTGTCAACCTACAGCTTTAGTTTAAGGGATAGCATCATAGCTTTAGAAAACAAAATTCTACATGGGATTCAAATACACACATTTACAATCTACTTTTGTTGTTGTTGTTGTTTCTTTAAGTCGTTTCCGACTTATGGCGATCCTAAGGTGAATATATCATGGAGCTTTCTTGGCATGATTTGTTCAGAAGAGGTTACCTTTACCTTCCCCTGAGGCTGAGATAGTGTGACTTGTTCAAGGTCACTCAGTAGATTTCATGGCCAAGTGGGGAATCAAACCCTGGTCTTCAGAGCCACAGTCTAACATCCAAACCATTTCACCATGCTGGCTCTCTACCACTCAAACTTACAAGTCACATCAGAATGAAAGAAGACAACGAAGAGCAGTTGTGTGCAACTGTGACAGCAAAGAAGCAACTGGTAACTGCCTTCTAAGGAGTTTGAAGAAAGGACATAAGAGTTCCCCAGTGAATGTGCAGCAAAATAAAGATTTTGCAGTAGGTAAAGTGTGTCAATTGTGCCAAGAAAATCCCATTATAGGTTTCCCATGAGGTCACCATGAGTCAGGAATGACTTGAAGGAACACAACAGTCTGATGTAGAGTATGTGGAGAACTCGAAAGCTCAAGCCCTTTATGCATGGCTTATGTTATATTTTTTGTTGTTGTTAACTGCCTTCAAGTCAATCCCCACTCATGGTGACCGTGTGGATGAGACATTTCCAAAACTCCCTGTTCTCTACTACTCTGCTCAGGTCATGCAAAATCATACCCATGACTTCCTTGATGGAGTGCATCCATCTGTGGTCTTCCTTTCTACTTTGCTAGCATTATTGTCTTTTCCAATGAGTCATGCTTTCTCATGATGTGGCCAAAGTACAACAGCCTCAATCCTCTTGACTTCTGGGGAGCCATTTTACTACTCAAGTTTATTTAATAGAATCATAGAGTTGGAAGAGATCACAAGGGCCATCCAGTTCAACTCCTTGGCATGCAGGAATTCACAATCAAAGCATCTCTGACAGATGGCCATCCAGCATCTGTTTGAAAACAGCCTCCAAAGAAGGAGACTCCACCACTCTCCAAGAGAGGGTCTTCCACTGTTGAACAGCTCTTACTCTCAGGAAGTTCTTCCTAATGTTGAGGTGGAATCTCTTAGTTTACTCTGTGTCGTATTCTCTGGAGCAGCAGAAAACAAGCTAGCTCCCTCCTCAATATGACATCCCTTCAAATATTTAAACAGGGCTATCATATCACCTCTTAACTGTCTCTTCTCCAGGTTAAACATACCCAGCTCCCTAAGTCTTTCCTCATAGGGCATGGTTTCCACCATTTTAGTCACCCTCCTTTGGACACGCTCCAGCTTCTCAAGATCCTTCTTGAATTGTGGTGCCCAGAACTGGAAACAGGATTCCAGGTGAGGCCTGACCAAAGCAGAATAGAGGAATAATATTACTGTATACTCATGTATAAATCAACCTCATGTATAAGTTGGCGGCAGGTTTGGGGGCCAAAATTATGGATTTTGATATGACCCATGGGTAAGTTGATGGTCAAACTCAGGGGCATGTAACAAAGGATCTAAAGGGGGGGGGGGAGAACCATTCTCTCTGGACCTCTCCCATGGGTCAGTCTTGGCATGCAAAATGTGGATCCAAACCTCTGATTTCTCTCTCTTTCCTCACTTCCCCACAACTTTCCCAAGGCTCCTGGCTTGCAAAAAGGGGGGCACAGACCTCCAATTTCTCTCCCTTCCCCACCAGCTTTCCAAAGGCAGTATTACTATACTGACCTGCATATAAGCCGACCTAGGATTTTGGAGCTCATTTTGGGGCTTAAATTTTTTGACTTATAGATGAATATATATGGTACTTCCCTTGATCTAGATGCTATACTCCTATTCATGCAGCCTAGAATTGCGTTGGCCTTTTTAGCTGCCACATATTTAATAGGACTTGAGCATCCTTGGATTTTGGTATCCATGGGGGATCTTGGAACCAAACCAAGGGCCCACTGAAGGCCAACATCTACTAGAACTACTGGTGTCAAACTGCTTCATTCAGGGGTAGGCAACCTTTCCCCTTTAAGGGCCGAGGGACTTCAGCTCCCAGAAGCCTCAGCCATGTTGGCCAATAGTCCCATATTGGCCAATAGCTCCTGGGATTCTGGGAGCTGAAGTCCCTCAGCCCTTAAAGGGGAAAGGTTGCCTACCCCTGGCCTTCATTTCTGCAGTGTAGATACACCCTCAGCATGAGGTGGTGGTCTAAGTGTTGGACTTGGGGCTCTGGAGACCAGGGTTTGAATCTCTGCTCAGCCATGGAAACCCACTGAGGAACGTGAGGTTGAAGGCTTTCACGGCCAGCATTTATAGGTTTTTGTGAGGTTTTCGGGCTGTGAGGCCGCGTTCTAGAAGAATGTATTCCTGATGTTTCGCCTGCATCTGTGGCTGGCATCTTCACAGAATCTTCTCTGAAGATGACAGCCACAGATGTAGGCGAAACGTCAGGAATACATTCTTCTAAAACACGGCCTCACAGCCCGAAAAACCCACAAAAACCACTGGGGAACTTTGGGCAGGTCACACTCTCTCAGCCTCAGAAGGCAAAACCAAAAATAAAAACCCCAAAGTCACATGCTCTCAGCCTCAGGGGAAGGCAATGGCAGACCTTCTCTGAATAAATCTTGCCTAGAAAACCCCGTGACAGGTTCGCTTTGGAGTCGCTGCAAGTAGGAAAGGCCTTGAAGGCATACAATAACCGCCCCTTTACTAGGCCAGCCCACAAATAAACCAAAGCCTTGCATAAACGCTTTCCTCCCGCGGTTTCGTCGCCCTCCACAGGCGTCCCGGCCTCTTACTTGGTGAAGGCCGCGCCCAGGTCGATCACCACTGCGGTTTTCTCGCCGCCGCTCCCCAGACCTTCGTAAAGCGGCATAGCTGCGGCTCTGCCAGACTCAGAACCAAAGGAAAGGCGGCCTGGAAGCAAAACGTCAAACGGAGTCAGCTGAGGGCCCTCCTCTAACAGTGGCGCGTGCAGCTCAATGGCCGAGACTGGTGGTTGGGGGCCTTCCGTCGCAGTCGGCGCGCTGCTTTGCTGGCTACCCCTATGCCTGATCCCAGGAAACTATTTGTGACTCCTCCACAGGATTTCTTATACACTACTACAGGTCTTTTAAGTCCGTTAATACATTGGCGAGGGACGCTTTTGTGAAAGGTCGCCCCCATTTTCCAATCCGCGCTCTTAGGGTGTGCGCAGGCATTGCGTTAGACACCCACAAGCACTGCCGTCAGCTGAGAGAATGAAGGGATGATTAAAGAGGGCACGGTGCTTTGCACTTCGGGGAATATTTCCGGTTGTCGATGGAAGGCACTGCAATATCAATATTGATAGTACTGTATCATATGTATACATATGTCTCTCTCTCTCTCTCTCTCTCTCTCTATATATATATATATATATATATGCACCTCCCTATGAATATATAATATTTTAAAATATATTAAAATATATATTTGAATATATACCTATTAATACATACACACACACATATATAAATTATTATTTTTATTATGTATGTATATATATATATATATATATATATATATATATAAAATATGTATTTATAATATCTAAGTTAATATATATAATTATTACTTTATATATATATATATATATATATGTACATTTTTAATATATATCTATTATATTTTAATAATATATATGAATACACACACATATTAATTCACATCAATTTGTTTAGTGAACTGAAGTGGCATAATGGTTTGAGCGCTGGACTAACTATGGAGAACAGGGTTCAGTTCCCCATTCAGACATGGAAAGTCACTGGGTGACTTTGGTCAAGTCACACTCTCTCAGCCTCAGACAGTGGTGTCACTAGGGTTGGTGTCACTCCCCATTTACCTCCTCCCATAACGCACTATACAGAATCCTTAGTAATGCTTTTTTGAATAAATGTTACTCATTAATTGTAATTCCCATATGCAATCGGCCCTCCTTATCCACGGATTTTTTATCCATGGGTTCAAGTATCCACAGCTTGAAAATATTCCAAAAAGGTATAAATTCCAAATAGCAAACCAGATTGCGCCACAGATGGGCGGGATAGAAATAAATGTTATTATTATTATTTATTATTGATTTTGACATTTTATATAAGGGATACCATTTTACTATGCAATTGTCTTTAATGGAACTTGAGCAGCCATAGATTTTGTTATTCACGGGGGGATCCTGGAACCAAATCCTAATGGATAACAAGGGTCCACTGTATTACTGAATGTCATGGTGATAATTGTGATATAAACAACTAGCAAAATTAAAATGATACCTTTAAATCACAATATCATACACACAGAATAAATGTCTTTAAATATGCATAGTTTCATGTGGTTAAAGTGAACATTTGGTAAGATGTGGTGTTTTTAATTTTTTTTTAAAAAAAATAAAAATTTAAATTCTTTTTTAAAAATTAAATTACATTTTGAGATTTGATTTTTTTTTTTTTAAAAAAAAGAACAAACCTGGGGCCTCTCCTTTCTCCTTCCACTGAGCTTCACCCCATTCACACCATCTTGTCAGCATTTTAAAGATACAGGCCAATGCCTCAGACTGTTTCTGCCCAAATGCAGATGTTTGAGGAGCAATGGTGTGACTCCCCCCTTCGGGTGTCCCCCACTGCACCCCTTAAGGATGCTTCTGGCTTCAGAGGATGGCCATGGCAAACCCCTTCTGAAGAAACTTGCCAAGAAAACCCAGTGATAGGGTTGCCTTTGGGTTGCCATAGGGTTGCCATAAGTCAGACAGACTTGAAGGCACACACACACACACACACACACACACACACACAGAAGACAGTTTCCTTAAATAAGGAAAAATAGGAGAATTACAAGAATCATAGAGTTGGAAGAGACCACAAGGGCCATCCAGTCCAACCCCATTCTGCCATGCAGGAACTCTCAATCAAAGCACCCCGACAGATGGCCATCCAGCCTTTGTTTAAAGACCTCCAAGGAAGGAGACTCCACCACAATCTCCGAGGGAGTGTGTTCCACTGTCAAACATCTCTTATCATCAGGCAATTCTTCCTAATGTTGAGGTGGAATCTCTTTTCCTGGAGCTTGCATCCTAGTCTCTGGAGCAGCAGAAAACAAGCTTGTTCCCTCCCTTCTCAATATGACATTCCTTCAAATATTTAAACAGAGCTATCATATCAACTCTTAACCTTTTCTTCTCCAAATTAAACATACCCAGTTCCCTAAGTCGTTCCTCATAGGGCATGGTCTCCAGACCCGTCACCATTTTAGTTGCCCTCCTTTGGACATGCTCCAGTTTCTCAACATTCTTTTTGAATTGTGGGGCCCAGAACATACAAAGAACATATGAAAGTGGGAAAAATTTAAAGACACTTTCACAAAGAAATCAGAGACACCACTGTGTTAGTCTGGAATGTCAGTATGCAAAGGCATCTTGTAGCATCATCAAGATTAACTGTGCAAAACAAGTTTTAGCATAAGCTTTAATAGACTTGGACTGCATCGGCACTGCAGAAGTAATGCAGTTTGGCACCACTTTAAATGTCACGGCTCCATCTTATGGAAACCTGGGATTTGTAGTTTGTTGTGGCACAAGAGCTCTCTGACATGGAAGGAAAAATACCTGACAAAACTACAAACCACAGAATTCCACAGCAATGAGCCATGGCAGTTAAAGCAGTGTCAAACTGCATTATTTCTGCAATGCAGATCGGGACTTGGTCTACTTCCTCAGATGCAGGAAGTGCATCCTCCTGCCTTTGTCCCTCACCATTTGGTTGAGATGCAGTTGAATTGAAATATATCCACAAACTCCAATCCATCAACAGTGGGTTGAACAGAGACCATGGCTTCCTGGCACACTCCACATATTATAACATTGGTTAACACCCCAGCCTCATGAGGATGCTCTTGGCCAGTTTATCACATCTCATTTCTGCATCCCAAACTGTACACACCACATTCAAAAACTCCTTCCACCATCCATATGGTCACCCACCCGCCCTGGCCTTAGGCAACATCTTCCCTCCTGCTTTTGTGCCTCAACAACCACAGTTAAAACTGAGCTTGTCACCTCATCGCTACATCCACAAGTTTTGCATTTCTATGGCTATTCATATAGTCTGATTATAAAAGTCTTTCCTGAGTGCCAGTTCACTTCTGAGAAAGTAGACCATACGAAAGCTTATGCTATAACTTTTTATTGCACAGTTAGTCTCAAAAGTGCTACAAGATCCCTTTGCGTATTTTAACAAAGAAATAATTGGATACAGGGAAAGAAAGAAAGGTTCATATGAAAATCCTCTCTGTGTAGCTATGTGTTCTCGGGAGTGGTAAATTTTGAAGTACTGATCTTATGAAACCTGCAAGGAAAATCCTAAAAGGCAGGCAGTTGTGTGGATCCATATCAGCAAACCTATTTTAGCAGCTCACTTCCATCAAAAGCAGTTCATTTGTAAAGCTTATGAATCTTAGGGGCTTTACAGACTGCCCTGATAGAGCGGTGTCCTGCTGCCCCTTTCAGCGCCAGATCGGGGCCGCAGCAACCACATAACACGGCCCCGATCCGGCAGTTTGCCATTCTAAAAAGAAGCAGCAAAATGCTGGTCCTTTTTGGAATGGCAAAAAGCTGCTCTTGCCACTGCTGCGGTGGCTTTTCTTCAACTTTTTGGTGCAGCGTGTATAAATGCTGTACCGCAGAAATAGCATGGCACCGCTCACCATCTGGTCAGGCAGGCGGCATGACGCCAGCATTGGGGCAGAGTCGGGGAAGCTAGCATGCGGTGGCCACGGCCCCACTCCGCCGCGATGCCGGCACTTCAAGCTGGTCTGCAGAGGCCCATAATTAAGGTCGTCAGCTTGAATCTTGAGGTTTCTTCCAACCCTATGATTCTAGGATTCTGTAACTCTTACATGTGATTGGCTGCCACATGAAACAGAATGCTTTAAATAGATCCGATATGGAGAAAATAGGGGCATTGGGCCACGTATGGCCCGTGACACCCACGTTTGTGGCTCCTGGAGGGTTAGTTTGAGTAGAATTCCATTTTCCAGCTCAAACTTTATTGCAGACACAATGGAAATTATCACATGAGGGAAGGGGTGTCAGCATTTGTCCTGTCTCTGTCCTGTCCTCCCTGCACGATTGCAGGAAGGTCTTTCAGATAACGTCGCACTTATCTGGACATTATCCCATCCGGAAAGTACAAGAAACAGCGATCGCGCAAAAGACTTTCAGATGACGTTACGCTGATCCTGTCACTGTTCTGTCATTGAAGTGGCACTGCCTGACATTTTGCATTAATGAGAGTTCGCATTAATGCAATGGTGATTCAATGACAGGATAATGACAGGATCAGCGCTAGGATCTGAAAGCCTTTTGCACAATCGCTGTCACAGACAGGATAAGAACAGGGGAGCAATCCCATCCCTATCCCGTCTGTGTGATAATCTCCAATGCTGTAATTTATCATCGATGGCATGTCTACATGGTCCAATTACACCAGTTCCCCCTCATCCTCACCATGACCTGTTTACACAACGCACCCCAATACGAGTGCGGACTGTCTTCATGAGAGATGGCCAGTTCTGCACTGAAATCCCCAGGTGACTTAGGGAGCTGAGTATGTTTACCCTGAAGAAGAAGAGGTTAAGGGGTGACATGATAGTCCTGTTCAAATATTTGAAGAAATGTCATATTGAGGATGGAGCAAGCTTGTTTTCTGCAGCTCCAGAGAATAGGACCCGGAGCAATGGGTTAAAACTACAAGAGAAAAAGCCCCACCTAAACATCAGGAAGAATTTCCTGAAAATAATTGCTGTTTGACAGTGGAATACAGTGTCGGAGCATAGTGGAGTCTTCTCTTTTGAAGGTTTTTAAGCATAGGCTGGATGGCCATCTGTAGGGAGTGATTTGATTGTATATTCCTGCATGGCAGGGGTTGGGATGGATGGCCTTTGGGGTCTCTTCCAAGTCTAGCATTCTAGGATTCTTACCGTTGAAATTGTTCCTTCCCAAGCAGTGGAGAGAGGGAGGAAAAGTGCAGAGGCATCGGGGACAAGACAAGAGCTGGGTGCTCCTCCACACTCCTTTCCACCATGCCTCTCCACAAAATAAAATGGTATAGTTGATATTCTTTCAGAGGCCACCACCAGAAAGTAGTTGACAAGCATGTGAGCAGAGACTGGCTGAGATCCTATTGGGTTTGCCATGCAGTTGCACAGCCAGGAGAAGCAAAGGTGGGATCAAGAAGAAAAAGCCACCTCAGTAGTATTGGTGAGGAAAAAAGAAAGACCCAGAGCTAGCAGTGGTAAGAGAAGAAGGATGCTGAATTCATATTGCCCACGTCTCCATACCTGGATTGCAGGGAAGTTGTCCATAGAGGCAGATTGTAGTTAATTGTCATTAATTCATCTTTGACTTATGGCAACCCTATGAACGAGAGATCTCCACATCATGGCAGTTAAAGTGGTGTCAAACTGCTTTATTTCTGCAGTGCAGATGCAACCAAAGTTTTAATATGGCTTCAGTACTTGTAATTTAGTATTGTTGTTTTTAAACATAACTATTTAATGTTTAAAATACTTTTGTGTCTAATACATTTTTAGTATACTTTGTTCATAACTCGTTGTGAGCCGCCTTGGAACCCATGCAGAAAAAAAAAGTGTAGTGCAAATAAAATAAAAATGTATTAAAATAAGAAAATAATTTTAAAAGGAAACGAGTCAAACAGACTCTAAAACAGGCATTATTGTTTCAGTATGCTTGGGAATGGGACTAGGAATGGGAAGGGCAGCTATGATAGAACTGGAAAAGATACCGAAGAGCAAAGACAGACAACTGAGCACTAAAGTCAGAATCGTTCAGGCCATTGTATTCCCCATCATCCCCATGTACGGATGAGAGAGCTGGACAGTGAAGGAAGCAGACAGAAAGAAAACCAACCTATTGGAAATGTGGTGCTGGGGAAGAGTACTTAGGATCCCATGGACAGCCAAGAAGACAGACAAATGGGTTCTTGAACAGATCAGACCAGGGCTCTCCTTGGAAGCAAGTTGAGACTATGGTACTTTGGCCACATAATGAGAAGGCATAGATCACTAGAAAAAACAATAATGCTGGGAAACGTAGAGGGTAGAAGAAAGAGAGGATAGGGTTATGGTCAACGGCTTGCAGGATCTGGGCAAGACTGCAGTGGAAGATTCTTGGCGATGTCTCATCCACAGCGTTGGCATGAGTTGGAAACGATTCAAGGACAGCTAACAACAACAATGCTTTGGGGACAGAGAGAGACCTAGCTTAAAATCTTTTAGCCTCTCTTAAATCCAATCTTGTTTTCTGAGAAGACACCCGCCACCTATTTTAATACAATTAGGCAACACACAGAGACCTTTTTATTCCCTCAGGCTTTGAGATTTAGGGCTTTTACAGATTGCCAGAAATAGTGCAACTTGAGGCCACTTTAACTGCTCTGACTCAGTGCTAAGGAATCATGGGAACTGTAGTTTATTGTGGCACCAGAGCTCTCTGACAGAGAAGGCTCAATGTCTCAGAAAAAAATAAAATTCCCATGATTCCCTAGCACTGAGCCAGGACAATTAAACTGGCCTCAAGTTGCACTATTTCTGGCAGTCTATAAAGGCCCTTAGAAATGTGTTGTTAATTCCCAGCTTTGTTAATATAACAACGACCACATTTTTCTTTTACTATTGTTCTCTGCCTTCTTGGGCACCTGTGGGTTCCAATTAACACTGCAGCCATATAATTTGGGGGTGTTTATATTTTTGGAAAGGAAAAGAGCCATTGCTTCTTTGTCCCAGCGTGCCTCAGTGCAGTCTGCGTTCTCTTGCCAATTAATCTAATTAGCTAACGAGGAGTTGCCATGGGCTGAGTCGGTCTTGCAAACAGTTGTTAATGCAGCTTTTCTTCCCCTGCCTCAAGATTTACTTGTGGATATGAATTTTCTGCTAGCTTCTGTACTCTCCGAATGTCTGCGATACATCATGGATGGATGGTTAAATGCATGCTGGGGATTTCTCATTAACTTAACATTTTATACCTAAAACATCATTTTGCAGCAGTATTTGTACATTTTCTGTTTTGCTATTTCCCATATTCAGTATACCCATCTATAAGTCAACCTCATGTATAAATTGACCTCATTTATATGTCAAGGGAAGGTTTTTAGGGGCAAAATCATCAATTTTGATATGAGCCGTGGATAAGTCGAAGGTTCAACATAGGGACATGCAACAAAGGATATATGTGAGCCATTGTGGTGTAGTGGTTTGAGTACTGGCTACAACTCTGGAGACCAGGGTTCGAATCCTTGCTCAGCCATGGAAACCCACTGGGTGACCTTGGTCAAGCTGCACTCTCTCAGCCTCAGAGGATAGTAATGACAACCCTCCTCTAAAAAAATCTTGCCAAGAAAATCCTGTGATGGTTTGTCTTAGGGTTGCCATAAGTTGGAAATGATCTGAAGGCAAACACAACAACAACAACAACAACAACAACAACAACAACAGCAATAAAGGATGTAAAGGACAAAGCAATGCAAAACAATGCCAAATAACTAGCAGTGATTAATGCCTTTAATTTTGCAACCATTCATAAATCTGACAGTAAAAGAAGTGCCAACAATCAGCCCACTTTCCCTGCCTTAGTAGCGTCTCTTTTAGCATTCACTGGCAAGGCAAGGAGGGTAGCATGGAGGGATGCTGCTTGTTTTAGGATAGCTTCTGCTCTTTCAGCAATGGCAGGGAAATTCGAAAGAGCCACCACTGCCATTTTTCTAACGAATATTACAATTTTTAAAATTATTAATATATGCACATGTTAGTACAGAATAACTAAAGAAAATGGGATTGACTTCCTAATGGGATGATTGTCTAACTTCATAAAATCTATCAATAATATCATATATTATTATTACATATTGGCATTTTGTCTTTCAAACATTATTACATCTATTTTATTCTTAATCAACTTGTTCATATTTGTCCTTATAAACACATCTCTACATGTCTATGTAAACACTACATTATTTCTGTTTATAATCACAAAATATGCAAAACAAAGCATATTAATCTCTGTGCTTATATATATCTATATGTATCTATCTATATATTCTTTATATATTCTATATATTCTCCTCTTTCACCTAAAAGCTTAGAATAATATTACCATATTGACGTGTATGTAAGTCTACCCAGGAATTTTTGGTATTAATTTTTTGACTTATAGATATGTATATATGGTATTCTTAATGCATATTAAGTACTTGGTACTTCTAAAATATTCCATACAATAAACAGATGCAGAGCTGTTTGGGCTGGAAGTCAACCTGAAGAAAACGGAAGTTCTCTACCAGCCTGCACCACAGGACAAACACCACCATCCCCACATCGCTGTAGGAAAATCTGTGCTTAAGTCCGTTCAGCAGTTCACCTACCTGGGAAGCATCATCTCCTCAGACGCCAAGATTGACAAAGAGATCGATTGCAGATTAGCAAAAGCATACAGCGCATTTGGAAGACTTTACAAAAGAGTCTGGAGTAACAAACACCTGAGGCGGAACACAAAAATCAGTGTGTCTAGAGCCATTGTACTGTCTGTTCTCCTTTACGGGTCTGAAACATGGGTCACCTATCGCCAACACTTACGACTCCTCGAACGCTTTCATCAGCACTGTATACGCACAATCCTAAATATACACTGGACTGACTATGTGACGAATATTGCTGTCCTTGAGCAAGCAGGGATCACCAGCATTGAGGCCATGCTATTGAAACCATCGCCTCCCCAAAATAGTACTCTACGGTGAACTCGCCACGGGTCAGCGTAA